GACGGTCCAGCCCTTGGGAAGGGGCTGCCTGGAGCGGGCAGCGCGGGCCGAGCGTGCCCGGGCTGTTCGGGGGGGAGCGGGCGAGGCTGCCCGCAGGTGAGCCTCAGGCTTACACATAAAGTGGGATGAGTTGTTTATCCAGCCGAGGAGCCCAGGCTTTAAAGTGTATTTGGGATTCTGAGCAAACAACCCACCCATGGAAACTTCCAAATCCCACGTTGAGGGAATTGAAGCGCTAGAAGAGCTTCCGTACATGAAATTGACACTGATTTTGAAGGGTTTGTATTGTACATGGCCTGAACGCTCGCTGCCTCTATCCCACTGCAGATGCTGCACTGACAGCTTGTTTTCTTTCAGGAGTTTGATCATTCTTGTACGTACCTTGCAGATATTGTTGGTAAATAGAAATATTTATAACTTTCAGAACAAGTGAGAAACTTTCCCACAAATGGGATACAAATGTTTGTATCTCAGAACAGAGGCTGGGGTTTAGTTTACAACCTATTAGGGTGAAATAGTGTTTTGTTTTCACTAGAGGTCTCTGTTTAATCATAATGAAAAGAAGCTTGTACTAAATGCCTGTCTTGTTAGCTGGCAGATACCAAGGCTCTTCCAAGCCTGAAAGAGCTTCTGGAGTCTGTGCCAAACACAGAGAGAAGGACCTGGGATTTGTTTAGTTGGATTTTATCATCTAAGGTCTTCATGATACAAAGTACTAAGAAACAGGAGGTAAGTTCTGAACTCTGAAAGTCTTGGTTAGAGTTTGTCTTTTAAGGCAAGCTTGCACATCAGAGAGTATTTCCTCCTGCCAGAAGTTAGTGGTTAGTTCCTGTGAGAGCTTCACAGTTCAACATGAGCGCATGGTTTTTTCTGCATAAAGAGAGGGCTGTTTGTTTCGGTTTTATATGAAATTCACAGGAACACTGGTCGGAAGAAGCAGTTATCACTGTCAGTAGTTAATAATGGGCAGTGCTTATAGTCAGTTACTTCCATTAATGTACCATGTGCATTCTAGATGAAGATAGTTCAGCTCGGGTGTCATGGAACTAGGTCCTGCTTCTCACTAAGAAAGACAACTGTACTTCTTGCTGCCCCAGAAATGAGAGCTACTGAGGTGCTTCTGTAACAGGGATCAAAATAGTTGTAGAGATTAGTGGCAAGATGAAAACAACTTCTGTTTTCACTTCTTTCCCCTCTGCCAAGATCAGCTGATGAATATATCATCTTAGTAGCCAAAGTAGAATTGTGATGCTGTCCTTATGAATTAATTCGTAATCACAATTCAGTTTGGATTTTTTCTGTGAAGAAGAATTAGGATTTAGCTTCGATAGCAAGAAACTGTTAGAATTCTTCCTATCTGCGTACTCCTCAATTGTGACAGTATTGAATTCTAACTTACATACATAGTCAAAATACATAAAGCCATTGGAAGGACTAAGGGACAGTAAGCAGAATGCCCAGTGAGTAATCTGATCTAACCCCATAAACTAACACTTGTATTCCTTCCTGGTTTTAAGTACGAGAAGATCCAAGAACTCACGGGGATGTCTGGGGCTGTGGTTCCCGCTCCAGACTACCTCTTTGAGATCATGTATTGTGATCAAACCAATACCAAGTTTGCTGAGACCAAGGGAGAGCGGGACCTCATCTATGCCTTCCACGGGAGCCGCCTGGAGAACTTCCATTCCATCCTGCACAACGGCCTGCACTGCCACTTGAACAGGGTGAGGCTCCTCGTATTGGCACCATCTGCTCTTGGTCACTTGCTGCTATTGACACTTCTTAAAAATAGGCCCAAATTCCTTTAGGGATATGAAATGTGCTGATGATCTTGTCCTGCTGGTTTCAGTTCAGTGTGGGCCTTTGCAGATGGTTGTGTTCTATTTTCTAGTGCAGCCTGAGGGTAAAAACTGGAAGTGGCACAAACCCATTTTCTCCAGCATGACAAACTACAACTGCCCTTTGCTTCTTTGTAAGGAACTATAATGCCAGTGAAATACTGGCCTGTGCGACAGCCTGCAGCTCGAAAGTGCATGTGCGCAGAGAGGAGGGTAGTAGCCCAGGCAACATTAAGATTGTCTCTTTCTGCCTGGCCTCAAGTTTAAATCAACCAAGTTTTAAGTGCTACTTGTGAATGGAGCCTTCTGTAAATGGCCTGGTTAAGGGAGACATCCCGTAGGATTTGCACCTCTTCTGATTTCAGTGAAAAGGCAGTTGGGACTCCTGGCTTTGTGTGTCGTCTGTAAAGCAGCTTTGACACAGCAGCTGCTTAACCTTCTGGTCAACCTGGACTATGTTTTTCCCCCATGTTCTTTATGAGTACTGGTTTATCAGGTACAATGGACTTACTGGATTAATAATTTTAGCTAGTGTGGCAAATCCTCTGATTCAGAGTTATTAAAACAGTTCTACTTGAAAGGAATTCACAATTGAAAAGTAATTCCCTCTTTTCTAGTAAAACACGGATTTAAATGCAGGTAAAGCCTTGTCTTGTTTGTGGGGGCTGGATTATTTGAGTGATGGCAGTCTCAGTAAATCAGTGAAATGCCTCTAGCAGCAGTGCAGTCATGTTGATGTAAACCACTTAGGCTGGCAAACTAAATCCAAATCCGGGAAAGCATGAATCTGTCCACACCAAGGGCTGTGCCAAGCAGCTAGATTGAGGGATGGGAGAGGGCAGCTGCCCCACCCCAAGGAAGCTGTGCCAGGACAACAGCAGTGCATGGACCAGGCCCAACACTGGTCAGAAAAGCTGTTCTAAAATACCTTCAGAAACAGACCTGCCAGTCTGAAAGTAAAGAACACTCCTGTGTTGCACTGCAGAATTTTATGGTACTATTTCTGCTCCATTTCAGACATCCCTGTTTGGTGAAGGCACGTATCTCACCAGTGACCTGAGCCTGGCTCTCCTTTACAGCCCTCATGGCCTTGGTTGGCAGCGAAGTGCGTTGGGCTCTGTCCTTAGCTGCGTGGCTGTTTGTGAGATCATTGACCACCCAGATGTAAAGTGTCAGGTGAAAAAGAAAGGTGAGTCTATTGCAGTAATAACTATGTGTAGTTCATCTCATACTTGGCACTTCTATTTCAGCTTGGTCCATATATACTGTCATATAAACTATGTAGTATATGGAGTGTGGACACCCTTCAGCAGAATCACAGGGTGATTTGGGTTGGAAAAGATTTAAAAGATCATTTAGATCCAACCCTGCTGCCACGGGCAGGGACACCTTCCACTAGACCAGGTTGCTCCAAGCCCCATGCAATCTGGCCTGTCCAGTTCCCAGTGGGCCCCTCAACAAATGCACAGCAGCCTCGCTGCCTGTGGAGCTTCTCTTAAATAGTATGTTTAAGGGGTAGGAAATATTTTGTAGGCATTACTCGGTTTTCCTAGTTTTAGTAGTATGATAAAATAATGTTCCATAATGCCTAATTGCTGGTGGAACAGAAGCATTACAAACGTATCAGTAACGAGTTTTATTTGATGTCTAGAAAGCCTCTGCTTAGATTGTCCTTCTTTTACTGTTTTCTGCATGCAGGGCTCAATCACTCCTTCCATGTTGTTTTTCTTTCCCTGTTAATATTAGCAGCTCCTCAAGCACCCTGTGGGTGGGAGACCTGCCTCCTCACCACCCTGGTCTGGCCATAATGCCATCCATACCAAAGATGACTAGGAGTGGTATAGCCTCAAACAAACCCCTCAGTCTATTCTTGGATGCTAAGGGATTCAGGGGAATTCCAAGACTAGGTCTATGGTTATCTCATTCCCCTTCTTGTGGAGGTGAGGGGGTGTTGCTTGGTTTTGTATCTAGTTTTGCTCTTCTATTCCCCCCAAAGACCTCTTCTCTTCTCAATCAGATTCAGAAGAAATAGACAGAAAAAGAGCAAGAGTGAGAAACAGCGAAGGGGGTGATGTACCACAGAAATACTTCGTTGTCACAAACAATGAGCTTTTACGAGTTAAATACTTGCTAGTATATTCACAGAAGCAGCACAGGAGGTAAGTGTTCAGCTATCTGGAGTGATGAGCATGTTATAGCAGCCAGATAAACACATCTCAGTTTTGAAACATAACAGGAAACAAGCGAGAAAGATACACTGCACTGCCAGGATTTGTTTATAGCCTGTTTCCTGTGGAAATAAGGCTTACACCATCACAATGTCTCTGTCTCACTCTTTGATGCTTTCAGGCTCAGGTAAATTTGCTTCTTCACCAGAGCTGTAAGCACTTGGTATTTTTGAGAGCTCTGATACTGTTTGTGGCAGGAAACCAAGAGTAAAACTCACAATGAGTGCAGCTCTTTAAACCAGGGCAGGTTTAACTCTGCCCTTATCTATCGTAAGTGGCAGCATTCATCCAGCTACTCAACACATGTGTACAGGCCAAGCAGTCACAGCTCCAAACCACAGAGAAGGGTGTGAACATGGAGAGAAAGAGCAGGATTATGCATGGAGACATGGGGAAAAAGGGATGGGAAATCAGGCTTTGTTAGTTCCAGGGAGTATGAAACAACTTTCTGTTTGTATTGCTCTAGTGTAACAGTTTAAAATAGCAAAACCTAAGATACTCTTTGCCAAGGTATTTGTGCATCTCTGACAGAATTCGTGCTCTGTTCCCTTTCCAGGCCTTCTAGTCAATCTTCCTGGTTTCACACCCACCGTTTTGCCATAATGATGATGCTGTACCTACTGCTGCTCATAGTGATAGGGGCCAGCAACTCGCCAACCTTCGTCTACTACTGGCACAGAATGTTTCACTCGGAGAGATGAAATGCCCGAGGTGATAAACTGTTCTTTTCACCACGTGCCTTAATAATAGCCAATCTGCAATGCACTGCCTCTGTTCCAGAGCTCTGGAAATACAGGTGCCTGGAGCTTTCCAGTTCTGCAACCAGTATATTATCCTCATGACATCTTTCCATTTATTCTTATTTCTATGTTCCTGTGATTTATGAGGATGCCCAGCCCAGCTGAAAAGGATCACAGTGGTGCAGCTTAGCATGAACCAGTTATTAAGGGTCCATGGAAAAAAAGTGATTTAAAATTAATGAAAACTAAGCATGAAAACACTCAGGTGTAACTGTTTTCTGTCAAACTGAGGTATGTTTGCACAAGTACGAAAGGAGGATTTTTCTGTGTGTCAGGCAAAGCAACCTGTAGAGAGTCTTACCAGTTTGTTTTCAGAAGCTGAATTTAGTGATGCTTAGCATGTATCAGTGCAGATGGGATCACTGTTAAACTTTTAAAACTAAACTTTGGCTTTGGCCAGGAATTTTTATATCATAGCATAATGACTGTAACAAAGCAAAAGAAATAAAACAACCACCAAAATGGAAGAAGTGGTTTCTAGTGTGGTTTTTCCCTCCTCCCCATAAAACATTGTTGTGGTTTAACACCAGCCAGCAGCTAAGCACAATCCAAAACATAGCCCCATACCAGGTACTGTGAAGAAAATAAACTCTATCCCAGCCAAAACCAGCACAAATCTTTGTGGTCTCAGCCATGATCTATCTTGTCCTTGGTTACTGTGCAGATAACACAAACTCAGGCCCTTCTGCATCAGTACTGAATAAGGATTATTCCTATCAAACTGCCTTCCACTTTTTCTGCACCAAGAAGAGGAAGGGTAAAGGGTTCCACTTATGCTGCCACCTGATAGGCTTTTTGGGCTTGGGACTGCCTGGGGTTTGGGATCTGGTTCAACATTTTTGCCTGTATTGAATCATTTTCAGTCTCCCTTTATGAACAAAAGGACCAATAATACGCCAACTACTTCCCAAGACACTTGTAAGAAATGGGGTAGAATGGCAGCAGAAGTGGCAGGATTGCATTTATGTCTCTGAACATTTGTAGCACAGTTACCTTCATGCAGAAAAGCAACCTACAACTACCTGAAACTGAAAAAAGAGCAAAGGACTCTGCTCTATTAGGGACTGGGCATGGGATAAACCTGATGACAAAGCCAGGGATTCCAGGCAAAGAAAAACTAGATGTGTGCCACAGTCCAACCTAATGGTCCAGCTTTTAGTAGTAGACTTGATATACCACAGGATTTCATTGCACAGTGAACTCTGACCACAAAAAAACCTCATCACATATTTCCAGCAAATGAGCCTGTGATTACTACCTTACCCATTAAATATTTCAAAGAAAATCTTTCTCTGATCTTCTTCTGCTACCTAATTGCCAGAAATAATGACCTGGTAATCAGGTTTTCTAACTCAAGTTCATTTACAGCAACCCCTCTTCTTGGTGGATGGGGTAGAAGCATTTATTCCAGTTCATTTTGCTGCCAGAACAAATGTATTTATTCACCATATAGCTTGCAAAACAAGAACATTATAATCCAATTCCCCATTGCCTTTTACAGCCTGTTAATATCGCTCACTGTTAAAGCACATCCCACTGCCACAGCTCAAGAGATGTACATGCTAATTATAGTGCTGATTTGCAATTAAAATCATGTACATAAACTATTTATTGCACAACAGATTCATCTACTTTATAGTGGTTTGCTCCTTGATATTTGAAGGGAGCAGCTTGGGGTTTGAGACATGCATGGGGTTCCTGGAATATTTGCCCATTTTTGGTCCATCTCAGCATGTTACATATAATGGTGTGCTATATACGTCTCAGTTTAGGGTAGGTAATGTGCTGGCTAGAAAACCTGGATGCTATCTAAAGGGTATTGTGTTGTTAAAAGCTTCATATGTCTACAAAGAAACATCTTTTGGAACAGATGGGCTATTGGGGGCTGTTTGGAAAAGGAGGAGGTGAGGCAGCAGTTGTGGGATGCCTGTTTGCACTGCAGGAAAAGGCACAGACCTGGGAATCTGAGTCAAGCAAAAGGAACAGATGGGGAGGAAGGCAGCCAGGTTTTGAGGTTCTCCAGATTTCTTTGCATAGGAAAGTTTCTGAAGGGTAAGGAAGAGGAATGAATGCATGGCAGCCCTTCAGCACTATCACCTATGGTCTGCCTGGGCTGTTATTTGGCTTTCAGCCATTCCACTGAGCTCTTTTCCCAAGTGGAGGGAGATAATTCCCAAGCTGATCTTCTGCACCCACACCAGCAGAAGCTGATCTTCTGCTCCAGGCTATATCCTCAAGAGAGAAAAGTATTGCAGGGGCTCTCATGGCAGACACACAGAGGCCAGCACTGCAATTAAATCAGCAGGTATCAAAGTTAGAAAGCAGCTTTTTTCTGCTTTGAGCAGTTTGAACAGACCCAGAAGAAAGAGGTGGCTGCAGGTAGGGGCAGAGTCCTGATGGATATGTCTCGAGTGCTTCTCAGAGGGCTCAGAGCCCCTTACACTCCCAGGCCTGCAGGGATGCTGGGCATATCCTCCTCCATCCTTCAGCTCCACATCTGTGGAGCTGGGTAGCGCTGTCCTCAAAGGCAATGGGAAAATGAATACATCTGAGGTGCTCAGATTCTACCTTAGCAGGCCAGCAAAAGACTTAATACCCTGCTCCCACGCTTGTTTTCTGTGCTCCCTGCTGATTCCAGCATGTGTTTCCCAACGTGGCAAGATGCAGCCAGCTGAATTAATGTGAGCATTGTGCTGAGTAACCAACAATATTATGAATTAACCCAAGCTTCCCGTTAACCTTTTAAGCCACTTGCGTGGCTCTTTGAACGCGCACAGTGCTATCAAAATGCTAATGGGGAATTAATCAGATCTTCCTCCCGAACAAAGGACCACTGTGTCTGAAGCAGGCAGCCCAGGGTGAGGTCGAGGAGTTGTAAACTATAGAGCTACCTGTGCTTATTAATACGTTTGTTACGTTACTGTGGTGAACATTAAGGAACTGTTACCAAGTCAGACAAATTTGGTCCTGCTGGGACTGCAAGAAGTGTGATGACTGGTGTTTCCTGGGGAGGAACAGGCAGATTTGGGGGAAGTAAAAGAATTTTCCTCCCATAAGGAGAAATTGATAATATA